AAAATTTTACATTTAACAGTGTTATATCCAGTAACAGTTGATATGCATCGTCCAATATGGAGAAATAATAAAATGCTACTTTTGCAGCTCACTAGGTTTTGGATACATATCTAACTTATCTGTATTAGAGCTGTATGTGTTTTGTCTTTTCCTTGGTAAAAAAAACAACTTTTTTGTTTTAGTCATATCCTCAACAAGACACATCTCTCCAAAGCAAGAATTCTCTTCCAAACTTCAAAGTTAGTAAAATCTTCCCATGACATAGGGACAAAAAATTGATTGCGAAGCCATTTGATTGAGTTGATGAGTAAAATAAAGGTGCAAATCACCCTGGCAGGGCTTCAGGAAAGTATGCATCTTTCTAGCATTTTCCCCTGATTCCCATCCCAACATGCATGAGATAAACTTGAGAAGGCCTGGATGCAGCCCGTAAACAAGTGCTGGTCGTGTCACCTGAGTTTTGGGAAAACACGTTGCTCATTGTAGTTAAACGTCTTGTGTTGTTCTTTGCAGAGATCATCGAGGATGTCCCCAGTGCTGAAGGCACTGAAGGTCAGGGTCTCACTGTTCCTCCGGCTGCAGTCTCGCCACACAATCAGGAGCGAGAGGCTTACAAGAAGCTGGGCCTGACCAAGCAGGTTCTGGCTGCGCACACACAGAAGGAAGAGCATGCATTCCTCAGCCGCTTCAGAGAGCTGCGAGGTGTGCACGCTTTCAAAGCCGACTGCTCCCTCTATCTGGAGAGAAGAAAAGGACAAGTCGCATCGGAGGGTAAGGAAAGATTTGAGTCAAAAGCTGCACAGCACTGTGTTCTTTTACACGTGAGCAGCTCATGATCCTGTGTTTTCAGTGTCTTTGAGCGACTCGGTTCACAGTAAATGCTGTTCCACACAAATACATCTCTGCAAATGTGCTCTGAGTTTATAATGTGTCGTTTATAACATGCTTTTGGGAATGCAATGTGCGCCTACCATCATCCAAAACATGTTGTGAAAAATACCTGATCATTTAATAAAAACAATATCAATATAATCTGATCATTTAAAAATAAAAAAATTAAGACAAGCCATAAATATTAGTATTGCAATTTTATAGTTATTCTGAATTTTTATATTATTTTTCTTACAAAAATAAGGGGCAGTCGTGGCCTAATGGTTTGAGAGTCGGGCTTGTAACCCAAAGGTCACGGGTTCGAGTCTCAGGTCCGGCAGGGATTGTAGGTGGGGGGAGTGAATGTCCAGCGCTCTCTTTCATCTTCAATACTACGACTGAGGTGAGACCCTTGAGCAAGGCACCGAACCCCCAACTGCTCCCCGAGGGCGGCAGCAAAAATGGCTGCCCACTGCTCCGGGTGTGTGTGTGTGTGTGTGTGTGTGTGT